ACTTAATCGTCCTTTCAGCTCAACCAAATTTCAATTGTTTAAGTGTATTCTAGTATAAATAACATTATTCATTCAAACGTGCATAAAAAAATATATTCTAAAAATAAAGATTACATTTGCAGAAACTTACGGCAAAAACGTGGAGTGCCTAGCCTAATGCTGAGTGTTTGTCTTAAAGTATATGCATGACATAATGATCAGCGAATTTCATGAACTCGTTCAAATTAAGGATTATACTTAGGGTCATAATTGTGAGGTTAATGTTTGAGAAAAGTGCATGTATATATACTAATTAAAGGAAAGTTTTGTGGGAAACCGTCTTTTCATCCCATAGTGGGACGATTAAAAAAAAACGTGGTGTTACATTAGGTTACACATTTGATGACGATTTCTTATGCCTCGTTCACTTCGCTGATTCAAGTTTAGAATTCGAGTTGAGATGTGATTTTATGTGAGAGTTTTTTACTGTAGTAAAAAAGTTAATATTAATGACTTCAGTTACGATGACGGTTTTCACTGTCGACGTCTTATATTTTCATGAGGGTTTTTATCATTCATCATATCTTCTATTTGTACGAGTGATGATAATGCATAAAAGCTATTTTTTAATGCTAAAAATAACGTTATTTATGGTTTTGGCACTCTAATTTGATGGTCTAATGAAGACGGTTAGCCTTCATACTAACCCACACGCATAACACGTTCACACGCATAACAATTTTGGATGCATCTTGAGAGTTTTTTTATTTTTTTTATTTATATATATATATATATATATATATATATATATAAAAACGTCCTTAACATTACACTAACACTTTGGTGGTAAGAACTCTTTTGTTTATGTGTTATCCATTTGTCATTTTTATGTAGCTTCATTCAACACCTTTTTGGAGTAAAAACTTTCGGCAACAAGTTTCAGTGACAAAAAAGAAAAGACAAAGAAGAGCAGATTACAGATGGTAGGAAAACGTATTTTTCCGTGTAGCGCCAGGTTTGAATTATGGATGAATTAAACAATTATTGACAAATCACGTTTTATTTTATTTTATTTTATTTTATATTTTGCTGGAATAACCTTCATTTTCCGCATGAAAAGATATACACCGAAAATTATCTCTGTTTCAATCGTGTCATTGCGGAAAATAAATGCAAAGTTAATCCATGATGCACATAAACAACCTCTTAGAAACCCTATATATGTTAGTCTCATAGTTCCTTCATTTCCAGTAATATACAACGACGAAATATAAATTCATTATTTTTGTTCCTCTCCATTCCAAATTGGGAAACAGAAAGGTAGAAGGCAAAAAAAAAACACAGAAAAAAAAAAGGGTACACTAACCGCTATCTAGCGCTTGCGAATGTTAATGGAGTAGTAAATTGTCAAATATTTCTTCTGAGTGTACATGCTCGTGACATCAGGTGATCTATTGGCTTAGTAGAGTGGTAATTCATTCAAACTTTTTGACATGATAAATATTTTTTTAGTGCTCTTAAAATATTTTTTTGAAAAATGCTTAAGGACGCCAACTGTACTAAATACTATCACTAATAAAATATGAGTTTTTATCTACGAGTTTCACACTGCAAGATTCACCTTCTATTAATGGATGATGTTTAGCATGGCCGGTGTCTTATAACAATGCTCATCTTTTTTACAGCAACTCATAAATTTTTGTTTACTCTCACATTGCAGCCCTGCAAACGCACGTTGTGAAACAAGCAATGAGATTGAGATTGCAATCTCCAAAAACCAGAGAAACCAGACCATTACCATTACTCTCTTTCGCGAAAAAAGCCCTATCCACAATGCTTTTTGTCAGCTTCCTCTTCATGATCCTCTTCTCCAACCAGCACTCCATTTGCGAGTTCAATCGGCCCCACCATTAGCAGCCACGGCCTCGAGTAGCTTCTCAGATATCAATATAAATATTTCTCCAACATCATCAAACGACCTCAACAAGGGAAATAGTAGAAAATAGGCCAATATAAAAAGTTTAAAAAAGTATATAGACTAATTTTTAGTTATAGAAATTAATAGGCCATAACTTGTCAAGTTATGGTTCATAACTAAATAAGTTATGGACAAACTTGTCAAGTTATGGTTCATAACCAGACAAATTATGGATAAAAATCGTGAATAACTTGTCAAGTTATGGTTCATAACCAGACAAATTATGGACGAAAACAGTAATTTAGCATATTTATTAACTTATATAAACTATTGATCTATTTATTTTAATTCATTTCAAGTTTTGGCCTATTTTCCTCTTTTTCCTCCTCAACAACAACGTCTATCCCGGAAACCCCGTCAAAATTTACCTTATGATCGGCCCGAGAGGTTCACGTACGGAACCATCGAGCAATTCTCATTGGCGAGGGGCGGCGGTGGAGGAGCCAGTGCAACTTATCCAGGACACCAGCACATGGCGGAGTGGCGTCTCTTCTCAGACCTGACACGCCCCGATTCTGATCGCCTCGGATCTCCGGTTGTCCGAGTATTGGATCCCGAAGAGGCCGACTTGTTCTACGTGCCGTTCTTCTCGTCGTTGAGTTTGATTGTGAACCAGGGAGGAGGGGGATCACATGTTGATGTTGCGGGTTACAGCGACGAGGAGACGCAGGTGGCGCTAGTGGAGTGGCTTGAGATGCAGGAATACTGGAAGAGGAGAAGTGGAAGAGACCATGTGATCGTGGCCACGGACCCGAAAGCGTATTATAAGGTGATTGATAGGATTAAGAGGAGTGTTCTGCTTGTGTCTGATTTTGGGAGGTTGACGATTGATCAGGGTTCGCTTGTCAAGGACGTGGTTGTTCCATACTCGCACCGGAGTAGCTCCTACAACGGCGATATCAGCGCCGTGGATCGCAATACTTTGTTGTTCTTCATGGGCGCTCGGCATCGAAAAGAGGTAATTTATGTTCCGGTTGTTATTCTTGGTGATTATTTTGTTGCATGTTTTGTTGAGACAACTTTTAGGATTCACTTATTTAGTCCACATTCCATTTTTTTTTTTTTTTTTGGTATTTTCTTATCCTATGTTTTATATACTTATATTTGTTTGCGTATTTATTTTAGGGTGGTAAAATCCGTGACATGCTTTTCAAAATACTTGAAAACGAAGAGGATGTTATAATAAAATCTGGAACACAATCACTTGACAACCGGCGAATTGCTTCGCATGGGATGCACACATCTAAGTTCTGTTTAAATCCCGCCGGTGACACGCCATCTGCGTGTCGACTGTTTGATTCCATAGTCAGCTTGTGCGTGCCAGTCGAAATCAGCGACGAAATCGAGTTGCCATTCGAAGACGTTATCGACTACACGAAGATCGCCATATTTGTAGAAACCTCCATGGCTTTGAGACCTGGATTCTTAGTCTCAATGTTGAGATCCGTAACTTCTGAAAGAATCCTTCAATACCAGAAAGAACTGAAAGAGATAATAAGAATTTTAACTCTATATGTGTGTATGTTCGTGTGGTTTGCATGTCATATTTTTTGTTCCTTTACTTAAAAGTTGCATGCCCATTTGTGCATACATTGTAGCCACATAAATACATACATGTTTACATGATTAACGGCAGAAAAAAAATCTCCGATTGCAACGGCATTAGAATAGGGCGAAATTTGTTAAGTGATTTGATTTAATTTTATTTTTTTTTCTCTGGTCATTTGTTAAGTGATTGCATCACCTCCAATATAGTTTTCTGAGTCCTAAATAATGTGATACAGGTGAAGCATTATTTTGAATATGGAAATGCAACAGTGAATGAGATCTGGCGCCAAGTTACCCAAAAGCTACCCATGATCAAATTGAACAAACGTCTTCAAATGGCCAATTTGAATGATCAAGATCGTTAGTCTCTGTTCCAACCAGACTAGAAATGAATTGTATGTTTGATTCTTTTAGGGACATTTGAAGAATATTCACAAAGTTTTAAAATAGGGGTGAACAGGCAGATGTATTGGGAAATGGCGCCGATCACGGCGAGCCGGTTTGCGGGTTTTGTGCCTACCCTGATCCCTGTTGGTAATCTAAACATTCATTTGACATGTTAAACAAATTGTAGCACATATATTGTTGATTACAGTACAAGTAAAAAAATTTGTGAAAAGTTTTAACACAAATTTATGACCATTGTATTCCTAAGAGATCTGCATCAGAAACAAAATTGCTAGTGATGCTTGGTGGTGAAACCAGAAATTAACCATTTTCAAACTTTGGTTCACCAGTAATTAATCCTATATATATCCATTACTTCACCACAGAGGAAGAAAAAAATATTTTTTCCATGTGATACTCTAAGTTGAAGCATCTTAATTTATTTTTGGTGAGAAAAAGTACGTGCGACAAACTATGTTGTACAACTTTACTTGAACATGAGAGTCTACAAACATTATAGTTCAAACAGTAAAACGAACACCAGTTTTGCCACCAATCTATATACTTAAAAACGTTCTTAAGTTGCCCCTAGAAGGCTAGAACCATACTCATACAAAAATTGCACTTTTCAGCCAGAGGGGTAAAATCCAACCCCTGAACTGAAGATCCCATGTTTCTACCAATATGTATGTGTGTGTACACACACATTAAGGCTTCATTTCGTATGAGGATTCAAATCAGGGTGATTCTAATTTTAATTTTGGAACTAGAACCATGATTCATAATTTTGGGTCCAAATCATGGTTTTGAAACCATAACCAGAATCAGAGATTTGAACCACCCAAAACCAAGGGGGGTGGTTTTAGAATCAGGGTTGATTTCTAGTTTAAAACATCACATCAAGGTTCAAATGTTGAATCATAACCATTCAAACCAAACACTGATTCTGGGTAAGTCAAATCAGAACCACTTTTTACTTTTTGTAAACAAACACTGGTTTAAACCAGAATTATGGTTCCGGATTCTAGAACTTAACGTACTCTAAGATCCCATGTCATAAGCCGAATGAAAACGGTAGAACCTTCTAAATGAAAAACAACCACCCCCATTTTCAAATTTTAGAATTCCTTAGAAACTATTATTGGAGTCGGGTTCAAACCGGAGCTCCGCCAAACCCAACAATCTTTGGGAGGAAAGAAATTCATGATTATTCGCTAGGTAGGTGGCCTTGAGGAAATCAACCCTACACCATCTAGGAGTAAGAGAACCCCTCTGGGTCCATTATCCCCATTTCAGTCCCATCCAAGCCATGTAAACGACACAAGCAATCGAAAATCATTAGCAAAGAAGAAAAGTCCATTCATATTACCAAGCTTTAGGTCCAGATTTTCTCGAGGTTCTGGGGAAAAGCTTTTCAAAGGAAAGCAAATGAATAAGTCTTGATTCAAATGAGCTTCAGATACTTTTTCAACCAGGTGGCCATTTCATCTGCCTTCCTCCAAGGACATGCAAATGGAGATGATAAACAGATTGACCTGGGGAGAGTCGGAAAGCAAAGCATTCTGGTAAATAGAATTTCCACGAGGTTTTTTTCTTTTGGCAGGACAGAGAAAGTACTGATTTGCTTCGATATTCCAGGAGTGAGAAATAAAGATAATCTTGCAGGGAAAAAAAAACAAAAACAAAACAAAAATGGAGCAGATAAATATACAGAGGGGAGGAGCTTACAGGCACTTGGACCACTATTAATGACAACACGAAACCCGTCAAGAATACCTTCCTTCTCTGCAACTAACTTTGCAGCATGGAGAAGTTGACCAAGTATTTCCACGTGCCCTGGTTCAGCCTATCATGAAGTAATCAACACTTTAGGGCCAGTGTATATCATAAAGCAATTTTGGCTAACCATTAATTCTGGAAAAAAAAAAAAAAAAAAACGTATCCACACCATCTAGCCGAAAAATCACAACGCTTATTGTCATATCATAATTAAGAAATTAATAATAGTACAAACATGTAACAAATCATTTTTGTGGGTCCAAACTAGAGAATCGTGTGATTAGTCATTTATGCACCATTCATACACTTGCAAATAGAAACACAAACACATGAAAAAGTGCTTATAGTCAATGATTCCATCACAAAAATTGAAATTCTTAAGAATGAAGAATGATGTGCTACGACTGCAAGTTCTGCTAATTTCGTTCTAGGTTACTAGAACATGTATCTATTGGTAGACATTCGATGTAACTAGGATGAACCGGAAACACATTTGGACTAGGATGAGCCTATGAAGATGTGTAATCAAGAAGATGGACAGAAATTTAGTTGCTCACTGGTATTCTAATACCTCCAGCAGATATTGAACAATTCTAGAAATGCCAAACTGTTGGTATGATCTATGATTTTAATTTCAGTCCAGAGGAAAAATGAATAAAATAAGAATACATGATAAACAACAAACTAACGCTGCCATAAAAAGCAAATGCGGTAGAAAGTTGGCTAAAAATGACCTTTCCAAGCTGCGTTAGTCCATCCCTCAACTTAGGAATGACTAAAACATGAACAGGAGCCTGTGGGGTGATATCCCGGAATGCCAGGACCTTTTCATCCTCATATACAATGCTCGCTGGGATTTCCTTAGCTATGATCTTGTCAAATCTAAAATGAACAGGAATAGGACAGAGTAAAACTTGAAAGGAAATCCATACTGACAAATTGATAATTGTTTTTCTTTTTTAATATATATCCAGAAAATCCCCCGAAACCACTTTGTGAGCCCAAGTTTGAAATAATGAAATTAGTAAGCACTAAGCACTATGAAATAATGACAAAATTCATTTCTGGACTTCAAAGTGTATTGTGTATCTGTAGTTTATTAGTTCTGGTTACTGAATAGACAAAATAACATTGTATATCTATATTGTATTTTTTCTAACTAGACATAAGAATATGATTATCAAAAAACCAGACATAAGATTATAACGGCAAGGGGGTTAGTGAAGTTTTTAAAGTCATTAGAAAGCCATTGTACAACATTAAAGTTTCAGTACAGAGGAGGTAACAAAAGAATTATGTGCATATTATGAAAAATGTGTAACCTGCTCGCAAAAGCTTTTTTCTATAAGAACTTGTTTATTGAAAATCATAACTATTGCTTATTTTTAAACTCATGCATCTACAAAAATTGAGCAGAACATGGAAGAACAAATGAAAGTATGATATCCTGATCTTCTGCCATTGGTTTCATGTCATTATAGTTTAGTGTTTAAACTATCAACAAGTCTCATCCAGAAATTCTTGTGACTTACCAATCAGTTTGAGCATCTCTTAAACAATCAAAGACTCACATTGTTTTCCCATTTTGAAGGTTCAAAGCTTATAAAAAAGTTCATAATAAATTTTTTTAAGACTAAACAGGCTGCTACGACATCAACATGAGATCAAACCAGATTCATTATGTCACAAGGGATGGTACATGGTGGGAGCTCCAGTATCGGCATCCACTGCAGCTGCCTTGGCAGCAGCCTCTTCATTATTTGTAGCATTAGTACGACACGAGAATCTGAAAGAACATTTGCAAGTGATAACAGTAAGTTCATGTTGAGGTTATAAGTTTGAATCCCTCCAATCTCGAGTTCAATACATATACACTAAAGTCTAATACTGTAAGACAGAAAACTAGCTATTTATCCCAAGATTACTATAGCAAAACCGAAAAAGGCTGCTACGACATCAACATGAGATCAAACCAGATTCATTATGTCACAAGGGATGGTACATGGTGGGAGCTCCAGTATCGGCATCCACTGCAGCTGCCTTGGCAGCAGCCTCTTCATTATTTGTAGCATTAGTACGACACGAGAATCTGAAAGAACATTTGCAAGTGATAACAGTAAGTTCATGTTGAGGTTATAAGTTTGAATCCCTCCAATCTCGAGTTCAATACATATACACTAAAGTCTAATACTGTAAGACAGAAAACTAGCTATTTATCCCAAGATTACTATAGCAAAAACAAAAAAAACCCCAAAAAAAAAAAAAAAAAAAAAGAAAGAAAGAAAGAAAGAAGAATAGCGACCATGATAACGTGACTCTCACTAAATCAGTTATGTCCAAAATCATGTGATATTATCCCCATTTACATGTAGCGGAAATATCACACCGATAGACAATCACAGGCTATCCTAGTTTATCTGCATCAGTTAGAAACTTTCATGGTTCTCCTCCACAAGGGCCCTCCCCACATGTTACAATGGTCTGAACTTTGAAGGCCACCACATCACTCACAAATGGCATATTATTCAGATTGTCCCCTTTTTAAGCTAAAACTTTCACAGCACAGATTATTCCATTGCTCATTTAGATTTGCAGATAAAATGGTGTAATTGTTATTTTCTCTTTATCTTTCTATGGATCAACAGATTAACAAAGGTTGTTAAGAGCAATTCACAGGTTAACAAATAGACATCATGTATATGATTCACATTTGTTTTTATGTCAATTTTGATCTAATAAACAGAGTTTGCTAAATTTCGATTGGACACAGGAGAAACGCATGAAATTCTAAAGAGGGGAAAAAAATAATACTATTTAAAGTGCCATAGTTGTTTCGTTAAACTACTATACAGAATATTAGTCCAAAAAATTTAAAAGCAAAATTCATGATTTTCTTTTTTAACCATAATCTGTACATCTCTGAATTAAAAGAGCACAAACCCAGTTTAGAATATTTGATGATTCTAACAATAAAATTGTTCAACCACACTCCGGGGTGACCACCAAGACCATCGAAATTCTCCAAATAAAAAACGGGAAAAATAAAAAGAAAGAAAAGTCCAAAGAACCTGCGTGGTTGAAGAGGAAGAAGGATCTTTGTGAAGTTGTTGTGATTAGAAGCTTTTAACGCAAAAGCTCTTGCTGTGGTGGTCGCGCAATTCCTGTTCCAAAATTTTGGGAACCAAATTTTTTAATATATTTATATATATTCATATATAAACTCCAACTTTATATATGTACTTAAACTGGACTGCATAACAAATTTAAGAATTAAAAAAAAATAAAAATAAAAAAGAGCGAAAGACAGAATTATAGTGCCTGAGTAGAGAGTAAGAGGGGATGGCAGCCATGAGATAGTGTTTTTCACGAAAGCAATGGACAATGGTATAACACCCTCCTCAGTCCCCAACTCAGCTTTTTAGCACCACGAAACGACAAGGAAAAAAAAAACCCAAAAAAAAACAGCAAAACGTACCACCAACCTTCAATTTTAGGCGTTTGATAAATTGGTCTTTTTTAACTTTTAATCTTAATAATTTATTCTTTAAATTTTAAAATTTGTTATAATATAGTGTCAAACTATAAAAAAATTAAAATTTTAGACGGGCTTTTTTTTTACGTATATAATGATACTAAATTGTGATCTTTTTACGTCAAATTGATGTCACATGCATGTCATAAGCGAAAAGTTTTTTTGAAACATTCATAATTGAAAGGTCACATTTGACAAGAGAGATAATCAGAGGAACAGAATACAACTATAGAAATATAAATATTTCGGAGTAGTAAAATATAGAAAATGAAAAAAAAAAAAAAAAAAAAAAAAAAAAAAAAAAAAAAAAAAGCAACGCCACAAAATATATTGACGACGAAACTAGTAAACAGTAACTATGAGGAACTCTGCTTAGATTTGGAAACCAAAGAAGAAAGAGAGAGACTAGACAAGAATGGCGAGTTTCATTCTTCAAGTGCCCAACAGCTTGAGGACCTTCTCTGTTTCTGCTTCTTCCAACGGTATAGATAATAGACTCCTTCAATCATTAACAAGAAAGAAAACACACAATTCAAATATATAGTAGTAATAATAGAAGAAAATCTCTTGGGTTTTTTTTTTTTTTTTTTTTTTTTTTTTTTTAGGGTCTCCTGGTCCTTCGAGCGGTAGGCCAGGGCCAGTGATAGTGGAGCTTCCGATGGAAAAGATAAGGAGACCTCTCATGCGAACCAGAGAAAACGACCCAAACAAGGTCAAGGAGCTCATGGACAGCATCAGTGAAATTGGCCTCCAAGTCCCTGTAAGTGCGTGAAATATTGGAACTTTGGGTTATTGGGTTTTTCTCGTTTTCAAAGAATTAGTGAAAGATAATAGTGATTTCGAAATGGAAATGAAATAAGTAATACATGTGTGAGGTATGACATTAAAGACATTAGAAGAGATACTAGAGAAAGATGAGAAAGAGTTTAGAATTTAGAGATAGAAGAAGAACACGACAGAGAAAGGTAAAAGAATTTTCAATATCCTTAATCAATAATTAGGCCAAACCGGAAAGTAATGTAATAAGAAAGGTGGTGAGATTGAATAAGAATTGGGATCCTTGATTCCTGTTTTAGTCTTTACTTATCTGCTTGATGGTTGAAAGTGAAACCACCCAATTACCCTTTCAAAAAAAGGGGAAAACCCACCTTTTTAGTGTTTGTTAAGCTTAGGAATAAGAGTCTTGTAAATTTAATTATTAAAATGTCATTTTATATAATTATATAATTGTTGCTTGTAACATGTGAATTTATTATTTTTCCTCCAAAAAATATATATATATGACCTTATCAAGGTCCTTTTAACTGTGAATCGATACCAAGGGTGCAAGAATTGGCATCCGCTTCCTCGTCCCCATATTTTGCAGGGGTGCCAAACTCTCATTGCTCATTTAGTAAGTAAACACATAACTATATAGGAAAGGAAATCACTCCTCCTTTTCCCTTTCCCTTTCCATTTCCCTTTCATTCGAAGTAAGTGCACGTTAATGGCAATGACAATGTTTTAGACTTGTAGGAAATTTATTCAAACTTTAAGAATATTCAAAAAGTAAACTTAAAACTGCTTCCTCCTTATTATAGGTGTTGTCTTTTTAATGTTGATTATTCTTCTACCGTTGTAATTAGTATAATTGCAGGTAAGCCTAATGATACTGTACATTTGTCCCCATTGACAGTGGTCAGCTCTAATGAGAATTTTTAAGGGTATTTTAGGTATTCTAGACATTTATTTGTCTGTCCTAATTCTCGTACTACATAAGGGATTTTGAGGCAGCCATTTTTAGAGAGAGAGAGAGAGAATGAGAGTGGAGGTGATTTGAGGCATGAGATCACCTTGTACTTCTCTTATCATAGTAATAATCTACAGCAATAAAGTGGATATAGCTCTCACATCGAGAGTCACTATAAATCTTACGTATGATCTATTCATTTTGTAGTTCTTCTTTGTTTGGTATTCCTAAATCAATCTTCCAGCGTTTGGAATGCTCAGGACACTGACTGCTAAAAAAGAAAAATATGCAAAATTACAATATTTTGTCACTATCTATGTATATTTTTTGAAATTTCCATTAGCTGGACTAGTTTTAATTTATATCATCAATGCAGATTGATGTGCTTGAGGTTGATGGAGTCTATTACGGTAAGTATTTATATTTGTTTTCCTTCTCAACATTTCGCCTGTGATCTTTCCAAACCATTACTTTCTTAAAGAGATCGTCGTGTCGTGGACAATTGACAGTAAAAGAAAGAAAGAGCATAGGCAAAAAAAAAAAAAAAGTGGTGCTAGGACAATTTTAGAGGCACGCATATGATTTCTGTACATTCTTTCTCATGATTTATTCATGTTCTGAAGGCTTCTCTGGTTGCCATCGCTATGAAGCTCATCAGCGTCTAGGCCTCCCTACAATCCGTTGTAAAGTTCGCCGTGGGACAAAAGAAACTTTAAGGTTTAATTTTACGGAGTGTTAATGTCTTATCAATGTGTATTAATCCTGCTTATATATTCTTCGTCAATGTATAGTATCATCACTTTTTTTCCCCCTTCATTTTGCAGGCATCATCTTCGATGACGACTCTTACCAGATTCTCCCAGAGGAACTCCAACCTATTCCAAGTTATCAAATATGTCAATCTCTTTTGACCTATTGAAAATAATAAACAGCCTACAAAAGTTTGTATATTATTAAGTATGTTATTAATGCTACTGATTTAGATTAAGTAATTCTCTTATTCTTCTCTGGGAAGCCTGAATAGAAGTATAATACAAACCCTCTTATTAAAAATGGGTTAGAAAAAAATACTATCTGCAAGTAAATATTGTGTTATTTGCCTTGGGGAAGGATGTCCAGAATTTTCTAGCTGCGTGGATTTACCTTTTACTTTGGTCGTCTCGTATGTTGTTTATGTCGTTTTCCCTATATGTTCTATGTTAGACACAGATAGTAACATATGGAGAGATTTCTATGAATATAGCTTCGTGCATAATTTTCAAGACTTGAATGAAAGTGCATGGAAAAGAGTTGAACATGAGAGTGGCTTGCATTCCTGAAACAGTGGTAACTAATCGAGTTTGGGAAGCAATATCTTTGTTGCAAAAAGTTAGCTTTATAATTTTTAAAAATACTTTTAAATGGAGGAAAGTTTTAGACGATAAATGCACTTTAATCATTTAAGGTAAAGCCAAAATTTGTATTCGTAGTTGGTTACTCACCAATTTTGCTTAATCTCAGTCGTAATACCCAAAACCAAGGCCAAATCTATTTTGGTCTCCGACTATTCAAACGTCCTAGAATAAGTTCATGATCTATCAAGTTGTTTCAAAGTGTCCGTACATAATTATTTTAGGTTCCGTTCATTTCACCAATTTAAGTTTAAAATTCGAGTTTTGCTACAGTAAAAAACTCTCATAAACAGTCACATCTAATTTTTTTACTACAATAAAAAAACTCACATAAAGTTACATCTCAACTCGAATTAAAAACTCGAATCAGTGAACTAAAAAAGCTCTTAATCTTCAAGAAAAAACGCATGCAAAAACCATGTGTGGTTTGGCGAGGAATAGTAATACACAACATTTAGAAGTCAGTGTCTTTTCCCATCAAGATTTTAACGATCAGATGGATGGAAGGATTTATTTGAGAAAACTTCGTAGATCAGAAACTCAATCGATGACGTTTTAAAAAATCAAGAACTAAAATAAGATTTGACCTATAGTTCATGCTCTCAATCGGAATTGATCCTAGATATATTTTGCCGTGGGCTGTCGGATATGACTGAAAACCACATTTACCTGAAGAAGCCAGTTTTGATTGTTACTATTGTCGGGAAAAGGCTTAAATGTAAGATGAAAACAAATAATGCCTTAACTACTTAATAATCAAGGGCGTTGAAACTTGAAACCATCTATTTACGTTGATGATGACGATGATGTCCAAAAGAAAAACTCATAAAAGACGGCCATCCTTGGCTATCTAAAATTTTTTATTGAAATGGATTGATTAAAGCGAGAATCCATGAAAAGAAAATGAGAAAACACTCAAAAAGACTAGTTATTTAATTGAGGTAAAATATTACCTTTCTAGAATCTCAACACCACAAGAGAAACAAGAAGGAAAATCGTATTGAGCCCAACTTTTCCAAATAAAATAACGCAGAATTTATTTTCTAGATTTTGGAAAAGAAGAGTATTACCCCATGCTTAATCATTTTCCTCTAGGCGCACTGCTTTTTTCCCCCCCTTTAAATGGGGAGGAGATACATATTGCAATACGAAAGGTAATAATTTACATGATCAAGCTATTATAAGGAGGAAAAGTTCAATTGATTCTGGCTAGATACAGGTTGCCAAAACTTGTATGAAACATTCATTAATTTCTTCCTATGCTTTAAGACTGACCTTGACAAGTACTTAGTTCACCATTTCCAATTCTCTTTCGGTCTTGGCTATCTTTCTACTTGTAGGCTAAGGGCCCAGATCTTGACACTGCAAACCTTGGCAATGGGCTGGGACCGCTGCTCCCAGAAGCTGAGCCCTCCGTAAACTTTACCTTCCGGCTTGAGCTGTAATCCAAGGGGCCAGAACGTCGAACACTACGGTGTTTGTTTTCAACACGTACGCTTGCACTGTCAGTATTATAAAGGTGGTCCGGGCCATGGGATGATGATCCTTTAAAGAAACCCGAATCATTACCACTATACTGAGGTGTAGAGTCACCACGAGGCTGCCGCACTATTGGAGACCCATGTGCAAGTGAGAGAGCAGGTGAGTGGCGGGGTGAAGCACTTAGTAATAATGCCTGTGGCGTGGATGGTGAATTTGAGTAGTATTGGCTATATATTGAACGGAGAATGGGGTAGGGAACGTGGGATTCGAGCAAGCTTCGTGGAAGATAGGGTGAAATCTCAGAGAGTTGGTCTAGGAAAATAAGTTGTGCTACCAGGTGAGATCTGCCGAGAAAAGTTGAAATGGTTAGACGGTTTTGTGCAGTTGTTAAGATGAATACATCAATTGGTAGAGTAGTTACCAACAAACTCATATCAAGGCTTAGGTTCTAACATTTTAGAGGACCACGTACCTGCTAGTTTCACTCCAAGAATCAAGTATAACACCAGCAGAGAATCTAACAAAGAGCTGCATTGTGGACTTTATGCTTGCTTCAGCTGACAAACGGTTTTGTATCTCGGTACCCCCTGCCTCACCAGCATGCCCGTTAGAGAAAGACTGTCTCTGCCGATGTTCACGTTCCAATCTAACAAACTCACTTCCTGCAATCACAGCACTGATGCACCTGCCACCATTTGTGATGAAAATCTAAGAACAGTGAATGAGAAGATTAATAGCAACAGATCATGGGTAATAATCCGTTTTGGTTTACAATTTAGTGTTTATATGCGTGCCTCAAAATTACAAATCAGATATTTTACCAAATCGCCCTCAAAAAGTATGAGCAGGTGGTCGCCCTCAAAAAGTATGAGCAGGTGGACTTTGGTTTATGACATGTACAAATGCAACTCTAAAAAGCTGACATGAATTATCGAACGCCATTCTGAGTGCAAAGAATCCAGCATGAGCCTAATAATAACTTTAAAGAAAATGCAAGCATACCTTGCCAAACAATGGATATTGTTGTTGAAGCCTCCTGTATCAACATTGAAGGCAGTTGTGTACCAGATATTAGAAGTCATGAAGCTGGAAAATAAATATGGTAACAAGCTCCATGAACCATCATTTGCACCACCAACCTCTTCCAAGATCAGTCTCACCCATTGAGAATCATGATCACTGACTATGCCAACATTGTTAGCCACCCCTTTCATTCTTCTAATTTCCTTCTTTTCAGGCAATTCTTCAGGAATTTGCTTAACTATTCCGGCTAATAATGAATGTATCAAGGGTGCACCATCTTCAAGAACGGTTCCAGCAGCTTCGGATAATTGTCTATCAAAAGCCAGAGCTAGACCAGCCTGAACACAGAATCCAATTACTGTATCCATATCAACAATCTGCTTAATAGACGCCTCTCTTTCTATTCTGTCACCAGAATGTAGGCTGCCAGCAACCAACTCCAGCACTTCACGGTTTGCTCGCAATGATGTGTCGATGCAATTTAAAAGAGCAGCTGTATGCTCTTTCAACATTCTGTCTAGCCTATCAACTCCATAGCCACCAAAAATACGAACAAAAGCCTTCAACTCCCTTAGATCAGTGACTGAATCAGCAAAGTATCCACCAACAGGCCTTGAGCTCTTGAAGCATTTGTGCATTGGAGCAAAAAGAATTCCTGCACCTGAGATATCCTTGATTATGTTTTCAATGTACCAGTTGCAAACAGCTTCAGTAGCAGATCCTGTATGTTGCTCTGTTGGTTTCTCAAACAAATGCAGGGAAGAAACAGGTCCAGAGAAGGCCTCTGTGAGCAAAACTTCTCGGATACCCTGGGTTAGGTCCATGCTTATGTGCTGCTCCGCTAGATGGATGATACTGTTATGACGGCGAATCAATGATTCCAGAACAGAAGGCCGTTGCAGATCATTATCAGTTTTCAGTACTGCAAGCAATCTCCTCCTGAAGTTCCCAAGGATGCATTCTCTCATATACTGCGCATGAGAATTATAACTTTTTCTTACGAGATAATACAATTTTAGAGAAACAAGAAATAGTAAAATGCAGACACTACATTAGTACCTCTGCAAGAAGCAAAGTTGCCTATGTCAAACAAATTCAGTACGAGTATCATGCCTTTTTTTTTCAGAAGAAACGATGACTATTGAATAAAAAAAATATAACAGAAGGAGAGGACGAGGAGTCCTCAACAAAAGAAGAAGCAAGGGAAAAAAAAAAGAGTCAAAAGAAAAACATAAAGCGAACTCAACAACAAAGTCTACAAAAAGGGTCCCCAACTTCTAACTAATTCAGCCAAGAAACAAGGAAACAAGGAAACAAAAAGACTTAATTAATGAATCTTGAAAATTATATATTCCAAGTTCATGGTAAATATAAGGGCACGAATACACAAATTCACTGTAAGTAGTGGAAATAATTAATATATAAAAACTCGTAGGTCTTGGTGTTCTACAGCTGGTGATTTTTGGCAACAAAATATCATCAGAAGTACCAATTGAGGTATCATACTAGAGGCCACAAGATGTGTACTATCATCTTGTCTAGACTAGAAAAGACTACCGTCTGGTTATTTAATTACAAATTTTGAGTTAGATTCCTTTCAAGTACAACAAGGATCGAGAGATACAGATCACAAATGTCATTTCATCATACAGGTAGTAGAACATATTGCTTATGAAGCCCGTAATTATTTTTGTATATTTTATTGCTTGAATAACCTACACATTATTGTAAAGAAAGTTGACGTCGAAGTAACTCCTCTGACAAATCTTAGTAAAGAACAAAAGGAGTTAAGAATATGAATTAGAACAACAATAAAGAAAGCAAAAGAAAATAAAAACACTTTAATCAGTCATAACATGCTTGATACTTTAGTCAACCATAGCATGCCTATATCAAGGTTTTTCTATCATACAAGCATTTAAGGGAAAAAAAAAGGAATGCGAGGAAAAGGAACAAATGAAAGTATGCTAACCTCTCTCAGGACAAAGACATGATTCAAGACACATATTGGCTCCATATCATTCAAAACAGAGCATAAATTCGTCAACCTCTGCATTGCAGCTTCTAACCTGCAATTCTCAATATGAAAGTACACCATCCACATAAGAAAATAAGTCATAATTTACATTTTAATTGGATAAATTGTGAAAGTAACATGGTAAATGGCTTACATTTTGATGGAGCTATTACTTTCAGGATGGCTCTCATGGCCAGGCAAAGGATAGCCACCTGCTCCCTTTGGAGATTTAATTGAAGCCGTTGAAACTCTTGATGCATAATTCATATAAGAAGCTGCCTGCTCTGGAAGAAGCTGAGACTCCCAAAAAATGTTTAACGAAATAAGAATAAGAGCTACATAAACAATCTGTGCCCCTTAATTACAAAAGAGGAAACAATTACTTGAATCTCTAGAGCACCAAATCCTCCTTCAGAATCAAGGATGTTGATTAAGCCCTCAAGTCCTCCCATTATAGATTCAATGAGAGATTCAACATAAAGGACTGCATCCCGTCCAATTTTAGTCACCTGCACAGTAAAAAGATTAAACTGTAAACTGACAGTTATTTCCTTTCCCATTGTCCATAATGTACACCACTATATGCTTAAGCATCTAACGATGAATTTTAATCAAGTAGCATTTGAATTGGACATGACATGAGCTCCCTGAAAAAAAAAATGATAATAATAAAAGAGACATGAACATTCAGCAAAGCCATCAATAAGAAACATTTTACAGTTCTGATTGTGACCAAGTTATTAGTAGTTGATCAAATTAAGACTTGGGCTTCCTTGTGATTTTGAATGTTTAAGAGTTGAGAGATTTTTCTTCTCTGATATCGTTGGGGTTGGAGAACCTCGTGTTCGGCTGGTTTTTTGTTTTCATTCCCATGTTTGTAGGACTTATTGTTCTCTCTTGCACTGTGAACTCTTTCTTTTTAAGAAGATCCATTGTTTCTTATAAAAGAAAAATGATAGTAATCATTGAGTTATTCAATTAGTGTTGCCGAGCTACCATTAAGCCAAAAAGATTAAAAATGATAAAAGAAGTCTAACACGCATATCAAGATAAAACAAGTAACAACTTATTTGAAAACTCCCTGATCAATAAATAAAAATCACAAGTAGGCCAAGACAAGTAGAACTGAAGAAATTTCTGAACAGGATTCGCATGCTTCAAACATGAGGGGGGGTGGAAGGAAGCTTTAAATACCAAGTTGCCGTAATCATCTAAATAACTTAAGCTGATAGGAAACTGGACTGACCATATATATAGAGGGAAAATAGCACATAAGACTATAAGAGCAGCAAAGTAACATCTCCAACTAGTGTAATCTAGTATACGGTGAAAGAGGAGATGCAGATGGAAGGGGAGACAAGAATTTTTGAGTTCATAAATCACCTCTTCTGGAACAATGGGGGAGGCGCACTCCGGAAAACTGCTAGCAACACCAAGCCATGCACAACAATGTTGGGGACGTCCTTCCGGACCAAACATAGTATTTCTGAAGACCTGTTAACAACTAATCTGTCAAGGCTAAACAATCTTGATTTTCAGAGTACAGCAATGATGGAAAGAAGTCAAGGAAACAAATGAAGAGAAAAAAAAAAAAAAAAAAAAACAGGAGCTTACTGCTGTAAGGTGCTGATGGTAGAAGTACAAATTTTTAAGACTCCCATGCTTTGATAATTGAGACTCTAGTTCATCAACACATCTGCATTAAAAGTATTGTGACATATTAACGTTTTTATCAGCTCTTTAATCACCTAAGCACACATTCAACTTGAAGACAGCATGCTAAAATCAATTCAAAACAAGCAAAAAAAAAAAACAAGGCTCAAGATGTATGTTCTTGTGGGATAAAGGTGCAGTTCTGGTTTTCTCTTTGGATCCACAAAGGACAGAAAATTTTCTTTCTCTCTGTTTTCTCTCTTTTCTATCAATAAATTCTAATGCAAAATCCAATTGCATCTATCCAAAGCATACAATACAAACGACTTGCATTTGAGCTACTGGAGAAATAAGCTAACCAAGTTGATGCTCAACACTAACAGAGTTGAGAGAACTTGCAAAAACTCTACGAAAAATTCATAACCCTGCAAGTTCCATAATTGTTCTGAATTTTGAACCAAACACTAGAAGTTGGACCCTTTTATGGAGGCAATCCAATTAGCTCTAGTCTAAAGCTACAATTCCATAATCAACCACCTCTCTACAGAATTCTAACCCTAGTTTCTAAATGAAGCAAAATAATAACTTACTTCAATTGTATCGATTTTATTCAATGAAGATTCTTTGTTTCTATAAAATAAAAAAATAAATAACTTTCATGCTTCCCCAAGTAGAGTTTCTACCTGCAAGGCTATGACTTGAATGAGCCTGATAAAGGTTCAATAAAGCACATCACCTGCCTTTAGAACCACGAGGCATCAAACTATCTACCTTTCTATTTAATTGATGTTGGCGCTTTGACTTTTTTTTTTTTGTTCTTTTTCCCTTTCTAGAAAGAAAAAATACTGAGATTTGGATATGATAATAGATCTTCATCTTAACTTCTTGCAGAAGCGAATTCTGAGTTATGAAGCAAATAAAAAGGAAAAAAAAAAAGAAGTATTGGTTAAAACACCAAAGATTCAAGAGGGAAGGGCGAGAGGAAGCTCTAATATTCAGGGTAATTCTGGGGCCAGCCCCACATGGATAGCCATCCCATTTCCTTAACTCTCCTTACCAACCCATGTCCCAGGACCTAAGGCCAATCGCAATTATCCACAGCTGACCATGATAAATCAATTACAACCCTTGATTTCATAAGTGAAAACGTGATATGGATGATGATGATGACACCAAAAGTTTAATATCATATGCCTATTGTAGTTCCGTCAAATCTCAAAACAAAACAAAGAAAAAGCACCTGGACCAATTGTACGCGGCATTTCCCTCTGACAATAGCCCTTCCTTCCCCGTGGAAACTGTAGCTTTCTCCAAATGTCTTATATTTATTGATGACCGAGAGGATGTCACTATCATCAATATTGACAACCAATCTTTTCGGAATTCCTAATGAATCAATGAGTTCTCATCTGTCAATCTTGAAAGCAAAAGTGGTAATAAACAGTAAAGCTATAAGAGATTTATATTTAAGAATCCCCACAGAATGCCAGTTTAGCATTCAGTAACATAGAATAGCTGATGTTTACTCAACAAAAACGAGAACATTATTTGTACAGATTTCTTACCCATAGATCACAGGTGATTGCAGAAATATGTTCACCCTGTGGTTTTGGAATGCTTTCAAGATGCAGAACAATCTTCTGAAATAGTCCTTTCAAGCTTGCATCTAAATCAAGAGCCACCATTCCTGGAGTACCAAGCAAAAACCGAATTCTTCCAGCACAAGAAGAAAGATATGACAATGCATAACCTCGAATTGCTGCACATAAATGTGAAAATTCTTCAAAATCACTTGTACATGTAAGAGATCCCAGAATGCAGTAGAAAACCCCATAACCTAATCTATCTTAAGTGCAGAAAATTAACTACCAAAAATGCACTATATCCGGTCAAGTATTTCTTTCTTTTCTGTTTTTCTTTTTGCTTTCTTTTTTAAGTTTGAATATCAGATTAAATTAAACCTGCAATATACTTGCGCACCAAACAGCATAGTTGGTCCATTCCATCTAATAAAAACCCAATAGTTGGATCACTTGGATCCTGAAAACATGACAATAGTATTAGTAGTCAGGCACAGGTTAAGCAGTTTCAAGCAAACGATCAAATGAATGAAGAAAGACAAAGCAGTTAAGAAAACTTATAGAAAAGTTAGAAAGAAGAAAGACGGAGCGGTTAGCAAAACCTAGAGTCAGTTAGGTGACGGATAGGCATTATGGGAAATAAAAAGGTTGACTTACAATGTCAACTGGTACCACTCGACCAGTTTTAGATTTAGATGACGCAATTCCTGCATGTTGGAAATACCAGATGACCTCATATTGAGCAAAAGCCAAGGCAGAGAATACCATCTGTCAGATATATCACTCAATAAGACATCTTTGCAAGCGCACTAGTATATAACTCTCCATTAAGAAAAAGTAAAAAAATAAATAATAAATAATAATAATAATAATAACTAACTTAAGGAAGAAACTACCACAACATATAGTTGGTCAAAGGACTTTTTTTTCTGCATATTTCAAGTAATCGTACCAAAAGTGGTCACACTTAAAGATCATATCTTCCTGCTCATTTCTTATCACAGAACATGGACAATGTAATTTTTAGCAATATTAGGTATCTTACAAAAATAAGTGACATGAAACTACTAGCCATGTTTTGGGAATTTCAATATATCAGATTCGGTTAGGGAGCGGAAACTTTTGTCATACTCTTTTTTCTTTTTGTTTAGTTGGACTCCCCGTCCTCTTTGTTGGTGTTCTAGGTACTTCATGATTTTTCTAATGCAGTTTTGTTTCTTCAAAAAAAAAAAAAAATACTAGCAAGAGCGAGGAAGAGAAAAAGATTCTCTTTCTATAAGGAGAAATATAAGGCCCAATTTTTGGCTTCGTTTTCGGCGTCCACAGACAAAGAATGAAGCATTTTCCTTTATCTTTAATTTTGTTAAGTTGGAGGGATGTATCTAAGATGAGTGTGGCAGAATTGCGTATATTAAGATGAATGAGTGGCCATACGAGAATGGATCGCATAAGGAAGTTATTCGTAGTAAAGTAGGTGTAGCACCAATAGAAGATAAGGTGCGCGAAGACCACTTGAGGTGGTACGGGCATGTCCAACGTAGACCGCTAGAAGCACCAGTCCGTGCTTGGGAGGACATTCTTATACCTAATACTAGGAGAGAGAGGGGTAGACCAAGAATTACGTGGACCGAAGTAGTTAGGAAAGACATTCTAGATCTAGGCCTTCAGGAAAGTCTAATTTCGAACAGAACTGCATAGAAAAGTGAAATCCATATAGCCGGCCCCAATTAAGTTGGAATTAAGGCTTGTTGTTGTTGTTGTTGTGGAGGGATGTATTGAACCCTTGAGAGAGAGTTTTGTTGTTTATTTGCTTTCCATAGTGTTGGAAGCTGTTATGGCTTTTTATGTTTTTCCTTTTAGAGGATCCTTCATCCTCTTCTCCTCGTATTGACTTTATTTGTTCAACAAAGGTTTTCTGTTTATTATCAAAAATAAATAAATAAGAAGAAGAGAAATATGGATCAAAAGTTTAAGCAACGCCTAGCATGGTTTGGCAAACCTACAAATCACAAAATAATATAGTACTTGAATACATAAAACAAATTGTTATAGGCCATTATGTTTTTTTTTTTCCCTTTATTGCTTTGTTTCTGCTGGTTCTGAGTTCTTGTTTTGCTTTTTCGGTTTTTTCCTTAAGGACACCTTGTCCTTTCTGCTTTGTACTGGTTTCTCATCAATACAAAGTTTTTTTCTTATAAAAAAACACATAAAATAAGCAGACGAAGACATGTTCAGACCTCATTTCCAACAGCACATTAGAATTACTCTGTAAAAACAGTTTACCTGTATGTTTGGAGCCAATAAACTAGGCTGATCAGTGAAAAAAAGTACCATTCTCCCTATCTCTTGCTTCAATAAAATTCTCCTTTCGCGATGTATGGAATCACAAGATAGTAATGCTTGCTCATGCACTTCACTGCGTTTGTATCAGGCATTTGATGACGTATTCAATGTTAATGGAGCCACAAACATCATGACACAAAAAGAAACGTAATTTGATGAAAACAAGTCATATTGATTTATGTTTTAAACATAGATGAGGATAGACTAACTCCAAGGATGAAAGATTCAGTAGTAACATTGATATACCCATAAACGTCTTCTGTTTTATAGACTTGCCAATGTAGAAAAAAGAAGAAAACTCCAAATGGATATCATACATATCACAAAATATCATCTGACATGTCCACAATTTTTCCATAACAAGGGTAATCTCCCAAAAGCAATGACATATCCACGATATTTCCAATATCTCTACTGTTGTTTTTAAGTAAAATTCTGCAGAAGCTATTTTTCAAAAACTAAACTAATTGAAAAAGAAATTAAAAAACAAACAAACAAACAAAAGTAGAGCTTGTCCTAAATTTCTTCACACTTTTGACACGAGTAGTATGCTCCTTTTGCAAGATTTACATTGAGTCCCTAATTTTCGCAACAACATGAGAAGTAACAACAAGTGCAAATACATTTTAAACCAGATTGGAAATCAATCTTTTTGTCATAGTTGTGGATATGGAGTTGTTTTGCCCACAGCCGTGGAGATTGAATGTTCAGAATCAAAGTACACTTTTAAGTCCTCTGAAATTAGTGCACAAACACACACACACACGGGCTTCGCCTATAGACCACGCACGGACAAGGACTTCACCTATAGACCACCAACAACGATGTCACACACGCACACACAAGGGCTTCACCTATCGACCACCGACAACGATGTCACACACACACACACATGGGCTTCACCTATAGACCACCAACAACAATGTTCTCGGTACAAAACAGAAAATTTGGTCACAAATCCATCTGTCCTTTGTAGAGAATGATGAGTTAGATTTTTATTTTGTTTATGAGAAAGGCCGTTGGTTAAATTTGTGTGTGCCAGGAGGCGTAGGAAGGGAATTATGCAGTCCACTGAGGGGCAAAATGAGATTAGAAAGGATGTGGGGGAGGGAAATGTAATTTTCTCACACTTAAAACGCTGAATGTGATTCGGTTAGAGAGTTTTTTGTAGAAAGGGTGATTTAAGGAATGAAGGTACAGAGGGGTCCACTTTGTCTGGTTGTTGGATTGTGAAATCAGACCCTGGAAATAGAGTCCTCAAAACTCTATCGTTTTCTTTCTTTTTCCAAAATCTTATTTTGGAAAGATAACTGGTGTGAGAATGAATTCTTGGAGCATTTATTTCCTCAGCTCTTTAGACTTTTTGATTTTCCAAACGCTTACATTTCTGATATTGTAATATTATCTAGTAATGATGAGCCGAATTGGAACCTTGGTTTTAGGAGAGGTCTCAATGATAGGGAGGTAGAGGATCTGCATTCTCTACGTCAAGTTCTTAACTCTATTTCACTTAGTTCTTCTCTTGATTGTAGAGTGTGGTTGTGTGATCCCTTAGGTTTTTCTTTGTCGATCCTTTTTTAGTTCTTTAGCGGATAGAAATGATATGCCAGATTTCGAACCTTTTAAATTCATTTGGAAGTCTTGTGTCCCCCATAGAATTAAAGTTTTTGCTTGGTTGGTCTTTCATGGGAAACTTAATACTTGTGATAGGGTGCAGAAGAGAAACCCACATATGGTGCTTTCCCCATCTTGGTGTATTCTCTGCAGGGATAATGAAGAAACCATTGATCATCTACTGCTTCATTGTAGGGTTGCCAGATCACTTTGGAACAGAGTAAGTTTGAAGGCAGGATTTTGTTGGGCAATTCCAGCAAATTGTGGTTCTTTGATGGTTGAGAGAGTGGTGGGGTTCGGTTCTAACAAAAAGGCTAGAGTTTTATGGAATAGTATGGTGCTTTCAATACTATGGACTCTCTGTATGGAAAGGAACGCCCGGATTTTTGAGGAGAAAGAAATGGAGATAATGGATCTTTTTGAGAAGGCAAAGTTCTCCGCGTCAATATGGGCTGCTACAGATAAAGCTTTTAAAGGATTCCCGTTTTCTTTGGTCATTTTGAATTGGAAAGATGTAATAGGCAACCAATTTGAAAGTTTTTGCTGTGTTTTTGCATTTTTGTACCTGGTCAGCTATTGGCCTTTGTGCTTTCCTTGGTTTTGAGGATACCTTATCCTCTGACCTAGTTTATTGATTCTATCAATAAAGTTTTTCTTATCAAAAAAACTGGTGTGCTGTAGTTTTCCATCATTCTCATCACTAGAGAAGGCAGATTGTTCATAAATAAAAGGATAACCAGACCCTATTTTCTGGTTTAATCAATATTGCTTGCTTTTATTCTCTATTATCTGATCCAAGAGCTTCCTAACAGAAAAACCCTTTCATTGATACTTAAATCAATTACAAAGATAAGAGGATGAGAAATCCTCAAAGTGACAAAAGAAAAGGTGAAAAAAAAAGGAAGAAACATAAGCCAAAGATTCAGTAAAACATCTCAAAATGGGAAAGTACAAAAACTCCCTAAACATCACAGACAAAACTATCTTTCTCTAACACCCTTCCAATTTAATATGAACAAAGAGAAAGGGATCTCCAGGAACGCCTTATCAGTCGAAGCCCATAGCGACTCTAAGAACTTAGCCATTTTTTTAAATAACGAAATCAAGCATCAATTTGCTTTGTATGGTGATCTAACCAGTATATAACGGATGGGACATAATGAAAACCACTATAACTGAAGAGACGATTAAAAATTTATCACTTCACATGAAAAGTTTGCTTCTACCTCCTATTCACTCTTTTGCAAATAATTAAGACTGTAGTTAGACTTTTAAGTTATTGAAAAGAAAAATAATAAATAATAAATACCATACCTAATCATCTTTTCAACCTGCTTTGCAACACTATACTCCAAATCTGCTTCTTTTTGCTTGGTGCGTCCAGATTTTGCCATCTTCTTTGATTCTAGTATTCTTGGCAGAACATATAGCTGATAATCCTCATGCAAAAGTATGTACTGCATGTTTAAGGTTAAGAACACAATCAACTACTTCATTTGAGAGCACCCTTTCACCAGAAAATCATAGACGGAAATTCTCACCTCATCCCTAAATAATGTGAGCACTATATTTTCTTTCAGTACAACCTGAAATAAATAACAAACAAAATGAAAAGGTAAGAAACCACGCAATATAATATTTGTTGCATTAAAAAAATAAAGCAATATAATATTTGCCTCCATTGTTTGTTGCTCTATATAATATATAAGAACACATTTTCATTGATAATTAATCAATTACAATTTATAAGGAAAGAGGATGAGGGATCCTCAGAAAAAAAACAAAAAAGGAAAATGTATATCCAAGGAGTCTGACCAAACAAAAATAGAAAGCTACTAATAAAAACTCAAAACCACCTATCTACCCACGTCCTTCCAATTTGAAATGATCAGGGAGAACGGAATCGCCTTGAACTCCTTATCTGTAGAAGCCCATAATGAGGCTAAGAACTTGGCCTTTTCAAAAATATCTTCCACACTCAAAACAAACAAGATATATATACTGTTATATATGCATACTTAGGTTGCGTCCTTTCTCAAGACACTAAGAAAAGTTTCAGTAATCATAATAGAGGCACCACTCTGTTCTTCTTGATAGGTTCTATATTTCAATTGAATTACGTTTTATAACTCTTATCAAAAAGGTGTAATGTTTTGTTCGGAACAATAACAATTACGAAGAATTTAGTCTGTTGGGGCTTACAAGCGCAATATCAATGCTAGTAACACGAAGCAGCTCATCAGGACAAACAAGATATCCAAATAATACCCATTCCCGGTAAGATGTAACATTTGCTAGATCCTGAGCTCTCTGCAATAGGTAAATAATGCAAAAGTCACAATTAGTCAACAATTGCACCATAGAACAGGTAGAACTGGTTTACTGAGATAAATTCACTTAAATCTACACAAAAATCATAGAAAGTAACAGTTTCTACCATTGGGTGAGCTGAATTTGTAAGAATGTCAGGATAGCGAGGATGATATGGGCTCAAAAACCCCTCATTTCTGAGCTTTCTTGTATCTGTTGATAAAAATATAATAGGGCCCACTGCCTCTAGCACCTGAAAAGGAAAAGATCAAAGTTTTAAAACGGAAACTTGCATAAAGAATGTACCTTCTCCAATTTAAGTAGTTGCTGAAAAAACTGATTCTTCTAGGAGATTTTTCTTAGATGAAAAATTGTATTTTTCCTAGATGAAAAATTGTATTTTTCCTTGGACAAGTGCTTGATTCATTGACGAGTATTTCCCCACACATCGTAAAATACCCAATGGTCTTCTTGAATAACTAAACTGTAACTTTTAACCTCTAAATATATAAATATGCTAATTTGCACCTTTCCCGCATACCATAGAGATTTTGTAATGAGGGAGTTTGGCCTAACAGAAAAGTGTTGCTTAAGAAAAAATATCATCATCGCAAGCTGTAACACTAGGGTACCAATATGTCTTATTGTGCTATCTATTATTCTATATAAAATGAGAAAACGGATAATTAGTTGATTCACAATACCAAAAATAAAGAACGAGATTAACCTCTCCAATACGTGGGCTCACAAAATTCAGATCTTCTTGTAATCCTTTCAACGGTGGATCATAGCAGTCTACAAATTGAACCAACCTATGAGGACAAGGAGAAACATATAGCGCCCCATAAGTGGGAATGAGATACCAAAAGAAATTGTAGAGACAATAAATCTAGTACAAGCAAAATCCATAAACAATAGACATTTTTCAATTATGCCACTAGAATGACAGACATGGGCAGAAGCCAGGCTATTGCAACAGGCACCAGATCAGTAAAGGTTGTTTCCATTCATATAAAAGCAATTGTTTTCATTCATATCACTAAGAAACAACACACCTTTGGCTTGTGCTAGGCACACTTCATATACATCAAAAAAAAAAAACAAAAGCCGGGAGAATAAACAAATTTTCATCAGCCATAGCAAGGATGATAAATATTAACAGAAAGAGACCATGAAGCCATCAGTAGCACTTGAAAATAATAAATGTTAACCATGGAGTATAATAAATTAAATTCCTTATCAAATTACTTCAATCATGATATGTATAAGGTTCAAAGGCATCTATAATCTAACATATGATCTTTAAACCAATTATAAGTATCAAAGGACACTATCAGACATAATATCTCTAACAAAACTGCTTTGAAATTTCCACTTTGCTTCAAATGCAGCAGTGTCATCTATATACTCTGTTGAATCGTTGCTAACGATTATTTAGGGTATATTGTTAATTTTTTAACAAGAAATAGTAAGAGTTCTTTCTCATAATCAGCACAGAGATTTAGAAAATTAAAGAAATGGAAGAACATGAAATATTCATAAAAACTAACTCAGAAAGCACTCAAGCAGCACCAGCTAAGCTAACTTCCAAATGAAATTGATCCTACCGATGATAAAAATCACAATCTCGTTCATCTCTTGCCATTGCATGCAAAAGGTTGTACGTTTGTAGCATCATCTTCCTTGGCATCTATTATGAACATTGTCAAGTAAAACGAAACCACATTTACTGCCATGCACTTCCATATATATGCATAAATAGCTAAAACAAAGCAATGAAAAGATATTTGAGAGAGAGAGAGGGACAGGAAACACAGTAGAAAGTCAAGTTACCTTCTCCGAGAAAAGATTAACACGAACAAATGAACAGAAGAGATCCATAAACACGTGCAGGATAAGTGAGTTCTGATGGGGCTGCAAAATACTGTGCAGGTTATCAGAGATATCATGTAGAAACTAAACTTCGTTCTGTTCTTAAATTGGCAACAAAATTGATGCAACAATAGCACTTATAATATTCATGTTACATATAACCTAGTTACTGGCTATCTTTATGAAACGCAATGACTATAGCCATGGACCAATGATGCAGTACAAAACCAGTGCAATGGCCTGAACAAGTGCAATTGTTTACAGTAAGAAACTTTTATATGCTCTAAAAAATCTTCTTTGTTTATCATTTTCAAAACTTCAAATAATCTTAAACAAGCTTTACACCTTTCCCAGTATAATGGTCTGAACCAGTAGATTAATGGAGCTTCTTCTACAATTTTCAAATCCAAAGCGACCAAACAAAGAAAATTGTATCAATAATAAACCTTTTTATGTGCACTATGCTACATCCTCCTTTTATCATCTTCAGGGCAATTCAAATAACCTTTAGCAAGCTCTCCACCTTTCCCAGTGTAATAATCTGATTTTTTAAAGAGTAATGCTAGTGCCACCAAATATTATGCATGAGAAAGACACAACTTTATTATGAATGAATGGATGAAAGAAAAAAAAAAAAAAAAAAAAAAAAAAAAAAAAAAAACAGTGGTTTCTTGTCCTAAGAAATAAAAAATAAAATCCTTATTAGAAACCAAAAATTATGCTAGAGAGAAAGAGAAGTGCTATTGAGACTCACCAACAAAGTAATAACAGTGCTGCTTAAATCCAATATGAGTCTTAAAGCTTGTTCTCGAAATGCCATCAGGTCAAGAAGCAGCTAACCCATGCAGAAGAAAGATGTTAATTGAGGGCATAAAGCGCTCTGACTGGTTAGGAATCTATAAGATATCTATAACATAAACTAATTAAGGCAAGAAATTAAAATATAAGTATCTTGAGAGGGAAATAACTTAAGGAGAATTTTTCAAAAATAAAAATGGATTCCCTGCTTCAAACTTCAAATTGTTAACTTATATACATTACCTTCATAATATTACAAGGAATGATTACAATCACTCGAAATATATTTTAAAAAGTCTTAAATGTCTCCAGAAACTTACCACATCCTATAACTTAGAGAGTAGATATCCAATGAAGAGAATTCCATCACCCAAAGAAAAAAAAATCTCGAAAACATAAACTAGCAGTGGTTCGTGAGCTTACTTAGGAATTAAAAAACTAATAATTGGTCAAAATCCTCTTATAGGATATATGCATATAAGGAAAGCCTGCATAAAAACAGTGCAATACCTGAATCCATGGCTCCAAGCTTTGTAAATGAAGTTCTGCATTGTCATGCAAAGCATCCAAAGCGACCTTGTCAACCTGCACCAGTATTCTAACTAATTAATAAAAATCACAAAGTTCAACATTATTCCATGTCAAAGAAATACCCAATAATCAAAACGAAGAAAACCAATTCTTACACGTTCAAGTTGTAGTTTGCTAAAGTGCTCAGGAAACTTCTTCGAGAGCAATACACAGAGTCTTGGATGGTTCGGAAACACGCCAGCTTTCCAAAATGCTTCTGAAAATACATGGCCAACTGGATCCGGGTAGTCCAATATCTGATTTAGCCTATACATTTTAGCCATAAGACCCTTGGCAACTTCAGTAAGTTGCAATACCCACTGCATATTTATACCCTTGTGGGACGCGACTGAACTCTGAATATGGCCATCAATGCTAGGATTCCTAGAGCTCCTAGGTGTCAGTTCTGGACCCAAGTACTCAGTCCATCTCGCTGGGCCTTCCCATTCCCTCGATCTTACAGAAGTAGGTGACAATGAGGAATCTTGGCTTGAGAAATGTGATCTTGATTTTGTCATTGCTTAATTAATCTCAACAATATTTCTGCAACAAAGTTGCCAACTATGGGTCAATATCTCTATGTTATCAGAATATAGTGGATTTCTTCTTCTTCTTTTTTCCTTTATGGAAGAATCTAGTGATTTCCTTGCATCCTCCTAAATCAATTCTAAAAGTTGATGGCAAAAACATATTCACAGTATCTAAAAAACAAAGTATAAGATCATATTCCGTTATTTGCACTAGGTAAAGAAAAAGGCTTCAAACTTGACGAATTTGTAGAGCTGATAACTCTGAACGTCACCGATGAAAAAAAAAACAAAAAAAAACAAAAAACCAACAACAAAGTACTATTTCTTTTCCTATTTAATTTGTTAAGAGACAGAACAAAGGAAAACGCTCCGTTCTGTTGCCGAGAAAAAAAATGGAAGATAGTCCACGGCAGCTCAAAGAGCAAAAAAAATAATAATAATAAATGGTAAGCTGAGTGACACACTCGCCCTTTCGGACCATAGAAAAAGGAATATTCTAGTGTTCAGAAGCTAAATTAGTTGTTACTTTTGCAGCATTTTCTCGGCAACCAAACAGAAAAGGAAGCGAGAGACGACAAGTAGAAAGAGAGAGAGAGAGAGAAGCATACAATTGAGAGAGCACCGAGTTGAGAAACACAGAAGTTCGCAGAGCAATGAAGAGAATGAAGCTCAGATCTGAGTCTCAGCCATTGATTGTGAAGGTGAGAGAACAAGACAATGGAAGAGGTTTTCGTTCTCAATCCCCTAGAGAGAGAAAGAGAGAGAGAAAAGAATGTGAGAGTTGGTGGTTTTAGTGGGGGAGCTGAAATCTCATTTCAGAGAGATTTAATTTAATAAATTAATTAAGAATTTATTAATTTATAATCCATAAGGATTAGTTACTTAAGACAGGTCTCTTGTCATAGTTGTGGGGCGTTACATTTCCTTTTCTCTTTTTTCTTTATTTATTTATTTTTACTTTCTTCCTTTTTTTTATTCGAGACAGTCAAATCAGGTCCTAAATACAGCGTGTGTACGTATGGTCTATGTATTGTTCTGTACTCCTGTGTAGGCTAGGCTGAGATTATCTCTGATTCAGTGCCAAATAACACGATGTTATTCAGCAAAACAAAAAATTAAAAAAATATTAACAATTGGCCATTTTTTTTATTGGACCTATAGCCCCCACTTTATAAATCATTGGACATGTGACATGTAATTCTTTTATAAACAGTTATTATTTTAAAAATTAAAAGTCATTTTTAAGTATATGTACACTTTTATCATGAATAATTATATGAATAATTTTAAAAGGCACATCAATAAATGACTGTCGTTTTTAATTTGAGATAGTGGAGTTCACGTATCAAACGGTGAATGCAGAGAATGAAAAAAATAATGACAGAAAAAGTGATGCTAGCATTTCTCTGATATTCAATGTTCCATTGACACATCAATTAGAGTACAACATTACATCAACCTGTCGGGAAACTCTCTCCCAAAGCTTCCAAATCATTGCTAACAATAACGAGAAATGTTAACATTTGCGTATTACGATGTTGTTTTTAAGTGTTAAATTTTATAGGCCTTCTCTACAATCTCCTCTCACTAGTGAAACAGTCATATCATCGTAACATGTAAAAGTAAAAATGTAACGTGATATTTATTTAACGTAATACAAATATTATTTAACATAGTCTGGCATTTATTGAAGGTGATACAATACTAGAAAGACGTGACACTAGAAAATTTAATTATCTCAAAATATTGTTGCACTTTAATAGTTCTTTAACATAATAAGATGTTAGAAAGGTATAATAATTGCCATATATAATCTATAATCTTTATGCCTTATATTTTTAATATCGGTATTACGTTAAATAAATGTTATGTTATTTTTTATTTTTACTTATACATGCTATGATGGTGGGATCGTAGACAACACCAAGTTTGATATATTATACGTAGTGCTAAATTTTGACATTAAATATAGTATATCGATCAAATTATGGCATTTAAATTAATGTGTTCATTTTTTTCAATTAACCATTACAACATTATTATTTCAAATTATTTTTAAAATAAAATTTACTTTCATAAGTTTCAAAGCATTAAAATTATGACAAAAGTAAATATAGTATCTGAAATAGCATTACGCACTGAGTATAAAATAAGAAATCATATTAAAATGTTAATTTTACTTTTTAAAATGTCAAATATAGCATTAATATTGACATTTACAGTAAAAGATAGTCAAAACATAATGTCTCTTACTATATTTCATTATTATTTCTAATCAACATTTGTTTCATTATTCTTTTAGTAGATTAGTAGATAATTTTTTTGTTGGTTTACAGCGTTGGGTAATAATAATGGATTCATAAATGATCGAGAAATTCTAAATCGATTATCAGCATTATTAGTCTCTGAATTTTAAGTATTGTCATTTTTCATCCCAAAATTTTTAAATAAATATTCAGTTGTAAGACAATATAAACGTAATTATTTATGTGAAATTTCATAAACCCTTCAGGAATAACCCTAAATATCCTTGTTCATTTCGCCGATTTGAGTTTAGAATTCGAGTTTTGTTACAGTAAAAAGCTCTCAGAAACAGTCACATCTAACTTTTTTACTATAGTAAAAAGCTCTCACACAAAATTACATCTCAACTCGAATTACAAATTCGAATCAGCGAAGTGAACGATAATGCTCACGTGGCAATGGATCAGAATACGTAACAGAGATTGAGAAGTGTAGAATCCATTCGTCTGTCTTTGTATATGATGATTTGGTATCGATACAATAATGCGTCATTAGGGATGATGTACAGCACATTATTAGTAATATATATATATATATATATATTGAAGGTTTCAGTAATTTATACTATACACCATTTGATTGACACAGGAAAAATTTGTATTCTTAAAGCTCTTCCGCCATCCCATAACTGTTACATCTCACTCTCTTGAAAGGTTTATAAAATTAATTCAAACTATGTATTAGACAGCTTAAAAATATAGGGCGCGTTTTAAGTTCGTTTCAAAATAATTTTATTTTTTTGTATGAAAATGAAAATGTTTTCAATCTCAGACATTAATCATTTTTAAAAATACGTTTGATAGTTTTATTAAAATATTATTTTTAGTGTAAAAAAACTCATTAATGTCTGTCTTTCTCTCCCTCTGCTCGAGAAAGGAGAAAGTGAAAACAAAAAATGAAAAATGACTGAAAGTCGTTTTTTATTTTTCTCTCATTTTACACTAAACTAAAAAATTATTTTCATTTCCGTGTTTTGTCTTTATTGCGTCAAACGCCGTTTTGAAAACATTTTCATTTTTCTTTCTCGAAAAATGTGAAAAACAAAAACAGAATTAATTTCAAACACTGTCATAATATTCCTGATCCATTTGTTGCAGATTTCTTAACCTTATTAGCGAGGCCAGAAATTTACATAGAATTTGTTTTGCAAAAGTATTGTCTATCTTAAAGAAGGGATAAAATATTGGTGTATTTTGTTATAAAAAAAACATCTCGAATGTACCGTGACTTTTTAATAATGTTACATAGATGTTGGAGTCAGACTATAGTTGTGCGAATCTTCAAACTAGTGGAAATGAATGACATTTCCAAGACAATCATCCAGCAAATTAGAGAACTCGTGGAAGACTTTCGTCAATCAAAAATTACCAAACGCCTCTGGTAAGTAACTGACGTAGCTGTCAGAGAGGAATATTTATAAGAGAAATAAAAGTTACGTTTTGAAAATCAATGAGAAATGTCATAATTCATCACATAATTTAGGGAGAATTTTTGTAATCAATTCATTGGTTATTTGTTTGTATAAACTTGTTACTTTCTATGAATATGCCTTCGTATCCTTTCACAATCGTTTGCGTTGAGACTTGAGAGATGTCCATGTGCATATTGGTACTTATATATCTACGCTTAATGTATTTGTAAGAACTTACAGTGATAGATATAAGCCTTCAGAATTATCAGTTGTAAAAAAAAATAAAATGTATGGTGAAAAGTGCAATAATAACCGGACAAAAACAATTGACTTTCAAACCCTAATATGACTAAGGCTGTAGTCGTGGTAGTTACTCCAGTCATGTAGGTCCCGTTCATTTTACCGATTTGAGTTTAGAATTTGACTTTTGTTATAATAAAAAGCTCTCAGAAACAATCACATCTAACTTTTTTACTACAGTAAAAAATTCTCACATAAAGTCACATTTTCGAATTACCGAACTAAACGAGCCCATAATATTTAAACTAAACGGAATAAGAAATAATCTGATAACGAAAAAAGCTTAGGGGCTAGTTTATTGCCTTTTTTTTCATGTTACTTTTATCTTTTGGTGTTGAAAGCGCTTCTTTATATATGCACGTATGGTGCACCAATCCTCTTAAGGCTTTGTTTGGTACTTCGGACTAGCTAGATAGGATTAGAAAGTTAGCATTAGATTGTTCAAAATTGGATGAGATTTTATTAGATTTTGTCCTGTGTTTGGAAACACATAGGATTAAACACCGGATATGTCCCTCTAGCGAAGAATATGGGGATTCCTTAGGTCTTTATTTAAGGGCCAAGGCTTAATTGCTTAATAAGATTTATTATATTTAATGTGAGTTTGGTTGGTGGATTCGTGTCATGATTCGGATCATGGTTCATGGCTCGTTACAGTATTTTCTCTCACAAAAAATACACGTAAATCGAGAATAATTCTAAATTCATGAACCAAACGTCCACTTAAAGAAAAAACACCGTTACTTTGTTGAGTTTGTTGATCACAAATACAGTACGTGGAAGACATATGCGATTGGTCATAAGGTTGCATTTTTGCATTTGTTATTTAGTGCTCGACATGACAAATTAGTTAATACAAGTAATACATGTGTATATATCTGCGTGTGTGTATTTATATACATGAAGTCAATTATATATTTATTGGGAGAGAGAAGGTTGAGTGGTGGTGTTTGATCAATTCCAGCGTAGATTTAAAGGATTGAATTGCAAACCCAAAGCAAGAAGACAATATGGAGTGGTGGAAGACATACTTGGCTTGGACATTAAGCCAACATCATTGCATTTCTATTGCTGGAATGAATTTAAGGAGTTCTTTTTGTAGTTTATAGCGACTCAAGTACCGCGCACGAAAACAAATTTAGCATATGGCAAAACTGATGATGACGATGATAACGTACCCACTTTCAAATTATGAGTATATAGGACTACATATATCTCCCATTCTTGTCGAGTATCACTATTAGCCTATTAGCTAATATATCCGTGATAATTCTCATGTTACTCGTATGAAAAATAATCTACCAAATTGTTCTCTTTCTCTCCAACAGTTGACAGCGTTTGGATAATCTGATAGAATATGAAAAATAATCTATTAAATTCGTTTCTTATATTTATCAGATTCTTCTCTGGCGGCCGGCATTGCCAACCGTAGATGGTTAGTAATTATTTTTGTTGAAAATAAAAGATAATATACTAAATTGCTTTCTAACATCTACCAGATTCCTCTTTCTAGCGGGTTATTAAGTTTTTTTTTTTGTTGAAAAAAAAATCTATTAAATTTCTCTACGGCATCTACTAGATTCTTTTCTAACGGCTGACACCGTATAACATATAACAAATGTGACATTTGATTCATATTAGTTGATATGGTTACTTTTTCATTTTTTTGGTAGCTTGTATTGTATTATATTATATAGGGTGTATTTTATTGTCTTCTATTCTGATGTATTGTCATAATACA